GGCACCATCCCCGGTCCGATCATATTCGGCGCGCTCATCGACCGCTCGTGCCAGCTGTGGGGTAGCCCGTGCAGCGGGCCCAGCCACTGCCTGGTCTACGACAACTGGTGGATGAGCAGGTAATTACCCCAGCCACAGGTAATTACCCCAGCCACTGCCTGGTCTACGACAACTGGTGGATGAGCAGGTAATTACCCCAGCCACAGGTAATTACCCCATCCACTGCCTGGTCTACGACAACTGGTGGATGAGCAGGTAATTACCCCGGCAACAGGTTCCACTGCCTGGTCTACGACAACTGGTGGATGAGCAGGTAATTACCCCGGCAACAGGTAATTACCCCAGCCATTGCCTGGTCTACGACAACTGGTGGATGAGCAGGTAATTACCCCAATTACCCCATCCACTGCCTGGTCTACGACAACTGGTGGATGAGCAGGTAATTACCCCGGCAACAGGTAATTACCCCAGCCACAGGTAATTACCCCAGCCACTGCCTGGTCTACGACAACTGGTGGATGAGCAGGTAATTACCCCAATTACCCCAGCCACTGCCTGGTCTACGACAACTGGTGGATGAGCAGGTAATTACCCGGCCACTGCCTGGTCTACGACAACCGGTGGATGAGCAGGTAATTACCCCAATTACCCCAGTCACTGCCTGGTCTACGACAACTGGTGGATGAGCAGGTAATCGCCCCAGCCGCTGCCTTATCAAATAGGTCACTTTTCCTCAATAGGCTTCCATCGTTGTTGTTCTTTACTTCGACGTGCATGTACGTACGTGTACAATCACTTCTTTACTTTCATGTTCGTCTAATGCCTGGGACCATTTGGCGACGCAGGCGGAGGCCAGGCGATGTTTGGGTGGGAGATTGCAGGTACGGCAGTGACCCGGTGTTGGCGGGCCCGTTTCACCGCCCGGCGGCTTCTTCGCCAGGTACCTGATGGGCGCCACGCTGATGTGGAAGTTTTCCTCGTTCATCTTCTACAACCTGGCGTGGATCTTCTATAAGCCGCCAGAGGGCAGCGAGGAGTACCCGGTGGCCACCGTCGACCAAGGTTCGCCCGCTGGTATAGGTACTTACCATGCTAGATAAATGTCAAAACCTAATTTTATGCCAGGGCGCGCTCCCTGTCGCCATGAAAATGATAGTAAAGTAATGGATGAGCCATGGGCTCGGATTTCGGAGCAAGGGAAGAGTCATGGGCTCAGGGCTTGTAGCAAACTTCTGTGTTTTGGCAATGTCACCGAGCCTCTGCATGTCTGCTGTCCGTTCGGGCAGGTATGCCCTAATTACCCTGAGTTATATATTATCAAAGCCGCCGGTGCTCGCTCCACCTGGCTGACGTGCTGACTGCTGCCCCCCCCCCCCATTGACACTGTGCTGACCCCCCATTTCCACCCCTCGCCAGCCGGCCGACCAGTGGGCTCCAGCGAGGCAGAGAAGGATTTCACCAGTCGGCCCGAGGGCGGACTGGAGAACCCCGCCTTCGTCGAGTCGTAGCTGCGCGGGGCAGAACCACAGACCGGCCGCTGACCAAACGAGCGGCCCCGTGTGCCACCTCAGTGACCTGCCACCTGGACAAACGGTACCGGGGGTCAGTCAGCTGAGCAGTCTTCCTGCGTGTGCTGCCATCTCTACAGTCGATCCGTCCAGTTCTTCCATATCACCGCCCGTCGTCGCCGCTCTATGCGCCGGTGACTGTATGTCTGTGTGTCTGTGTGCGTGCCGTGTTCGAGCCGCTCGCAGTGACGGCTCGGAGCACCCGAGTGTCCATCGGTGACAGGGTGGGTCGGCACCCGTTTTACCCGCTGATTGCGTTCACTGCACCGAGTGTCATGTTCAGCGCGTTTAATCAGTTGCACTTCTTTTCAGTAGGACTGGTCACAGGGTCCTTTTGCTCAGTTAATTCCCCTAGTGTGCGGTCCGTTTCTGTCGTCATTTCGAGCCTGTGAACGACTACGCTGGGTTTGTCAGTTGTCACCGATGGCTGCAGGACACTTCGACATAATTATTGTGATGCATGATGAATGTGGCAAGCAAGTTTATGTGTGTGATAATTGTGTCATGAAATCTTCTTTTACTCGCATATTATTGTGTAACTGAAATAATGCAATCCATAACGTCCGAAAATCTCACAAGACCCCTGAGGTCACGTCACTTTCTTCATCCGGCGTTCAGGGACGATAATTATAACAGCACTTACAGCATAAAATGTCAGGGACGATTCGAACGTGACTTTTGTCACTCCACAAATCAGGGTTTGATGCATTCCATTCCATCCATGTAATGCCTCTTTTTATGTTACGCTTTCTGAGTTCGCACTATTTTATTCCGATATATGTACACGTTGGTTTGTGTTCAGCCCCACTAAAGTAATACTGCTGGGGTGGAGTGGTGAAATATTGGCGGGATATAATTGTGATCATGTTTGTGATTGTGAATGTGGTAATACCGAGAGATCGGTGACCGTTGTACCGTGTGTTCCCAGGATACCTGTAGGTGTTAACGGCCAGTGAGCACATTCTGTGTCTTAACTAGCTTTTGCAGCCGATGGACGAGCACGCATCTCTGATGCACCTGTATTTTTGCGATCATTTCCAGTTTGGATGAACACTAACATTGTAATGTTATAAGCGAGAAGTACCTTAACATGCATTCGTATATTTTGGTGATGACAATGTTTTACATCCCATAAATAAACGTGTCGGAGACATTAGAGGTTGCGTGTTCTGGGTTGTCAAATGTGCCAGACTAATCTGACACACATTTTATACACTAATTCGCATGATAAAGTGGCAGCAAGTGAGCGAGGAGGCATTTGACATGAACCCAAAGTGTTTTCCTGAAATGGCACAGAACAGTAGCGTCTGTTTAGGTAAAGCGAGTTGTCAACCGTGCACAAGCACAAAACATCCTGTGGCGCGGATATGCTGAGGTGACGCCTGTAGAGACCTGTGCCGCAGCAGTCAGCACACATCAATTCCATTGTCCCTTGAAGGCACTGCCGCTGCAGACTAGCTGTTGATTCCTGTGAACATACTGTGCCGCATTACATAATGGCTCTAATCATTTTCCAGAGATGGCGCTAGCAGTAAACGCCCGGAAGCGTAAGATACTGTGCCGCATCACACATTCATTCCAATTGCCGTCCAGAGATGGCGCTAGTAGTTGACGCCTGTAAGCATAGAGATACTGTGCCGCATTACACACCAGCTCCTTTGATTGTCAAGAGATGGCGCTAGTAGTTCGCCCCTTTCAAAAGCATATGCTGTGCCGCATTACACATTCGTTTCAGTTACTGTCCAGAGATGGCGCTAGCGGTAAACGCCTGTGAAAGCTCAGATACTGTGCCGCGTTACACATTCACTCCGATTTCAGTCCAGAGATGTCGCTAGTAGTTAACGCCTGTGAGCGCACAGATACTGTGCCGCGTTACACATGCACTTCAATAGCTGTTCTGAGATGGCGCTAGTGGTCAGCACCTCAACATCCCATGATCATCCTAGTGGGCTGAGCTGATCCAGAGCCATCCTGCCGGCTCACCGGCGCTCACAGGGTTCCATCCACGGACGGCCGAAGATGGAACACCTACACCTGCGGTTCAGGTGGCAGGCCGGACCAAGGCTATATAGCCGGTCGGACACTGGCCATTCGTTGGCGGTGCCGCTGCACCACCCCTAGGCCTCATCTCCGACCGGCGACTGATACCGGTCGGTGTGTCTCTGCAGCTCTGTCCCCGTTTGGCCGGGCGGCGTGCCCAAGTGGTGCGGTTTCAGGGTCTCGGGGCCTAGGGTGATGCACGGCCGGTGCTGCCAGCCGCTGGTCGCGGTGCCAGGCTCTAGTTGCGCCCTCTGCCGCCGGTGGCGCGGGGCTGGCACCGGCAGCCGCTCGCCGGCACCGGCAGCCGCCCCGTCCCGTGTGTGACGCGCCGCCGCCGCCGCCGGAGCCGCGCTCGGTGCTCCGACTCCGCGGGAGGCCGGTCTCGGTCGCCCGCCGAGCTGTCTGGGCTGTCTGGGCGCCGCCACCTGCCGAGCAGCCGCCACCTGGGCTGGGGCCCGCTCGACAGGCAGATATCGAACGAGATTCGACGATTCAGCTTTCAACAATACCGGTATATCTTCAAATAGTACCTGGCTGGTGCTATATAGGTACTCATTATTATCGTAAATGGAAGTGGTGATAACGTTAAAAAATCTTAAGTAGCAGAATGTCAAGACTGTCAAAAGATAGGTAATTGCCTGGTTTGTTCGAACATTTAGGAGCCAAACTGCTTTATCCGGCACTCAATGCCATACGTGAGGACATTGTTCGGTCGGTGACAATGGGTGGGTGTATCCGCGTCTGTCCGCACTGCTGCGCCACATTGCACCCATGGCTGGCGCGCCGCCGCACCGCCCCGCTGAGCTCCTTTCTGCGGGCCACTCACAGCCGGAGTCACGGTTGAGGGATCCGGCCGGCCGATTGCGCCGAACACGCGAGGCGGCGGCGGCTCTGGGCGGGTGCACCCCCGGCCCAGAATGGCAGGGTGCTGCTGGTCAGTGTAGTCAGTAGCGTCACATGCACTGTCACACTGGTCAGCGGCGGTCACCAGCGTCACATACATCAGTCACATGGTGAGTGGCAGTGACCAGCGTCACATGCACTGACACACTGGTCAGCGGCGGTCAGCAGTACAGAACTCACTGTCACACCGGCTTCGTCCCTCTCCATTGTTTTTTGCATGCTTATCATTATGCCGAGCACTGAGAAAAAATCACACATTTGATGCATGTTTACCTACATTATATGGATATATGGAGTGCGATATTCATGTATTCGGCTTATAGGTTGCTGTGCGATGTAAAAGGTATATCTGCTGCCCATAAATTGACAAGGAGAGCGGCGCCTTCCGAAGGAATTTAAAGTGCTGCCCCGAGTCTTCATATAGTCTGCAGAAAATAGATCACAGATGTTCGGCAAAACAGGTTGATGCGAACGCCACTGGAAAGGCGATTGCAAAGTGAAAATTATTGTATTGATCGTGTTGCTTTGCACGGTACAAAACGGAAGACCGGCTGCAGCAGCCTGGCGGTTCTGCCGCGGCCGCTGCGACGGGCAGCCATCTAAGGCACTGTATCGCCACTCGTGTCAGCAGTCTCAGGCTTCTCTCATCTGGTCTCTTTACCAATATCTCCTCAGCCATCATAGCGAGCTATACACCTACACTACTTGTCCGGCTAACTAAAGAACAGTGGCAACGTAACGGCAGTCGGCAGCGACACACGGCACCGCCGAACCGACGGCGACATGGCTTTGGTAACCTTTTTATAAAGCAGGATATCACTGGTCAGTAGTGCAGCTCAATGAGCACGGTCATTGTAGCATAATATCAGCCTACCCATTAAAGATCAATAATGTTAATAAAATCCAAGGCATCAGATTCACAAGGCACCTTTCACTAGAAATGCCGCTACTTCCATTTGTAACAAAATTTTGAAATCGATGAATCTTCTTCAATACGTGTCTGAAGAAACCACAGACGCGTAAGCGTTGAACGATGTGGCGGATCTGCCTCTAAAAATAGCAGGGCTGACACTGGGACAATCAATCTCCGAAAACGAGCACTGGACGACGTGCAGCCGAAAACTACCGTCCACTGATGTGCCGCTGCTCAGAGACGGCGGAACGCCGGCCACAGCAGACTGCACGGCAGCCGTTCCATCCCTGTAGTGCAGCTCTGTCGCTCCAGGCTCAGAGGCCAGAGCGGCACTGCCGTTCCGAGTGGAATCCCAGAGACGGCGGCACCAGTACGGGTAGAATCCCAGAGCCGACGGCACCTGTACGGGTAGAATCCCAGAGACGGCGGCACCAGTACGGGTAGAATCCCAGAGCCGACGGCACCTGTACGGGTAGAATCCCAGAGACGGCGGCACCAGTACGGGTAGAATCCCAGAGCCGACGGCACCTGTACGGGTAGAATCCCAGAGACGGCGGCACCTGAACGGGTAGAATCCCAGAGCCGACGGCACCTGTACGGGTAGAATCCCAGAGACGGCGGCACCTGAACGGGTAGAATCCCAGAGCCGGCGGCACCTAAACGGGTAGAATCCCAGAGACGGCGGCACCAGTACGGGTAGAATCCCACAGCCGGTGGCACCACTACGGGTAGAATCCCAGAGCGGGCGGCACCAGTGCGGTTCGCTGCCGCAGCTCGGAGAAAGTCGGAGCCAAACGGCCTGAGACGGTCGACTTCGGACCCTCGGCAGCGCACACTTCACCGCTCATGTCACAGTGGGTGCCCGCGAGAAAAATGGCTTATATGACACAGTTAGCGGGGTGCAACTCTAACTTGGCCGAAATACTGCTGAGGTTTTTAATAATTCTTTGGTAACACATCGCCACATTATCTTCACATCCAGCGTCGCTATACATATGCAGATGTAATCGGAAACACACTGGGAGATAAAAGACTGTTTACCACACAAACATAAGCTCTGAGTTAGCCTCGCAAGGCAGCACTGCATGTCTGCTGGATCAAACGGCTCCCCAAGGGAGTGCGGATACCTTCCTCTGTCCTATCACAACAGCGCATAGCACATCATAGCACACCAATCCATTGTGACTTAGACTTGCTGAGAGAGCTCCGTCAGAGAGTCCGGGTCTCCTGAGTGCTGGCCAGGCCGCACAGTGGTCCCGGCGACCTCACAGCAGGGCGCAGAGCCGTCGTCTGGGCGTCCCCTCCACCTCTCCCCCCGTCAGGCGCAGCACGGGCGACTGGCGACCGTCACCGGCAGACTGATCAGTCCGCGTCTGAGTCTGATCAGCCAACTGACCAGTCACACCAGTCCCATCAATCCCACCCTCCGCCGTCTGCTCAGTCCCATCAGTCCCGTCAGTCACATTCCCCGCCGGCGCCCCGTCCTGCACTGACTCCCCGTCACCCGCCGCCGGCGCCGCCGGGAGGCGCTCCGACTGTTCCTGCCTCGCCCCCGCCTCCCCGGCTCGGGAGCCATCGCCGTCCTCCGAGCCCTCGAGGCCACTCCGACTGGCTTCAGACAGCCGACTAGAGCGGTCCCAGGCCCCGGGGCCGCCCTCAGACAGCCGGCTGGAGCGGTCCGAGGCCCCAGGACCGCCCTGACTGGCCTCAGACAGCCGACTGGCGCGGTCCGAGGCCCCGGGACCGCTCCGACTGGCCTCAGACAGCCGACTGGCGCGGTCCGAGGCGGGCCCGGTCCGGCCGGCGCGCTCGGCGATGCTGGTGAGCGGGCGGTGGGCGCCGCGCGCCCCCAGGCTGCGGCCCACCACGTCGCTGAAGAAGAGCGCCGGGTCGATGGTGGGGTCGCGGCCCCAGGCGAAGCTGGTCGAGTCAGCCTCCACGGGCGGACAGGAGACGGTGCGCTGCTGGGCCGGCGACGGCCGGCGCCGAGGCGGCCCGCGGGCGCGCTGCTTGGTCAGGCCGGGCAGCTGTGGCGGCGCCACCGGCGGCAGCTCCAGCTCCGGTTCGGACGGAGTCTGGGCAGGAGTCGCCTGCAGACGCGGGACCACCGCGCCGTTAGATCAACTACACTCGACTACAGAGCTGCGTGCCAGTCACTAAAACTACACAGACAATAGGCGAGTAAAACATGCGCTTATCTAAATAACTAACAGTGACGACAGGTCTATAAGAACAGCCTCAAAATAATGAAGTATAGAACTTAGAAAAAAACCTCAGGAGGGTAGGAGGAGGAGAGAGAGAAAGAGAGAGAGAGGCGCAGAAAGAGAGAGAGAGAGAGAGAGAGAGAGAGAGAGAGAGAGAGAGAGAGAGAGAGAGAGAGGGAGAGAGAGAGCGCGATCTTCCTGTGATTTCCTGTACTCACATCTGCGGGTTTTTGTTTGCGTGGCTCGCCGGCAGCTGACGGGTCGGCGCTCTTCCTGCGCTTTCTGCCGACGGCGGCCTGGACGGAGGAGCGCAGCCGGCGCACCCACTCGTTCATGGCCACGCCGCGGCGCCGGTTGGCGCTGACGAGCCCTAACGAAGACCGATGGACGCTGCGGGGTACAGAGGCCACGTCACTGCACGGCGCAGACGGGGCACACTCGCCGCGGGAGCGACCAGCCGCGGGCGTACTGCTACTGCAGACAGCCCAGGCGGCGAGACGCGGCCGCTGACTGCGGCTGTGTCCGAGCGTGGGCTGAAAATGTGACTCGGGAATAACTATGTCTGAGTACTGATGCACCCGATTCTGTGAACGTCTACATATATCAGTGCCAGTGTCTGTGAAGTGTGACTGCGGCTACGGATGCACTCGTGACACCGTGTGTGTCCAGTGTCCGTACCTACATGAGGGGGCCGGGCCGTCTGCTGTCGGAGGGTACGGACCAGCTCGATTGGCGGCGGCCCCTCCCCTCCCTCCGCCCCATCGCCAGTGCTGAGTCACGGGCATTCCACGAGCAGGAGTCGGAGTCTGTGAGTCACACGGCTGACGACGGTGCAGCGACAGCCAAGTAGTCACATTTCCAGTGCCAGCCCCGTCCCCTCGCTGTCTTCCTCCCCTTCCCTTCCCCCTCTCTCCCCTTCTCTCTTCTCTCCTTCCAACTTTTCTCTCGATAGCTCTCTATCCCTCTTTACCTCCTTTGTTTCATTATTGCAATAGATGGTGATAACAGGGCCTTGGTGATAACTTTTACATATAGCTCACGACCATCGTACTGACATCGGAGGGTGGCAGGCAGCCAAACGCGAGCCAGCAGCGGCGCTTTGTTTGGCACCTGCCGCACTGAGACCCCACCGCGGCGGGGTCAGATTCAGCGGTACACACTGACTGCACCCCAGATCAGCCACGAGTCGGTGCCCACTACCGCACCGGATCGACTTTTTACGAACACCGGACAAATAACGAAACCAACACTGACGGACCAACAGCGAAATCAGCGCGGCAGGTGAACAGGCGCCAGAAGATATACGCACACGGTTATGGCTTAGGAATTGCTTATGCTGTGCCGGCTTATGTCTCGTCCAATGCACTTTGGCATATGTATATTTACGAGTACGAACCTCTTTATTTAGTATCCAGCTGGTGGTTTTGGACGTTCCCGCTATTCAGAACAGGTGGACCCGTGCATTTTTAGCATTGCGGTTCCGCACATACTCGTACGCTCAACTTTGTCATTTGTATACTTTTCATTGTCTCATTAACACAACGATTAATTGGCCATTTCATCCAGCCCTTTGTTCAAAGTGAGTCAGTCATCGACCATCGTTGACCGGGTAATGTGACCGGTCTCAGGTCGCGCACCAGCTGCCTCAGGGCATGGCGGAGACCCACCGGGCAGCAGTGCCGACTGAGGGTCCCGAACAGCAGTGCCGACCGTCAGAGAGGACCGCCGGGGGTCGGCCGGGGAAGCGGGCCTCGTCCCGCCGCCGTCCCTGCAGACAGCGGCGGCGGCGGCGCGGATAGCCGTAGTCGGCCCTATCTGAGCAGGACGTCCGGCCGCCGGCAGCGGAATGCCCTCTGTGCGCACCGCTGAGTCAGTCAACTGCCCGACACGGCCGGAAGGTCGAGATTCACCTCAAACATGGAAATCTCACTCGGCATGTGGAAGGACAAACGTCATATTTCGGAAAAATAGACATTTCCCAAGTTCACATGTTGATGTTCGAGCTTCTACGGCAGAGTGACGAAACTTTTCCCCTGCTGTCACTGATTGCGCCTTGAAACAAGACTAACTGCGTGCATTTTGCATTTCCTCCCTCAAATATTGTGTTGCGTTATCCTTGAAAGGTGGCAACGTCAGGTTTGTTGCGCTTTGACAGCTTCGACTGTTGAATCATGAATGAGGAGAGTTCAATACGAAAGTTGTGGCCAGAGGACCTAGAAGGCAAAAAGTTGAGCAACAGACACCTGCAGCGCCTCTTGTCGGTAGAAAACTTAGGTGTTCAGGGCTCACAAAAGTAAACAAAAGATGCTTAGCACGTTAATGTAGGTACTCCATCTCCTGACTTATTAGTTTTCCGGATGGGAGAAGGCGGATACAAGCGCCCTCACCGTTTGTTTTGGCCTTATTGAGCTAGACCTCGCGGAAGAAAGGACGATTGTGTGTGCCATTAAACAACGCAGAGACTGATACCCGATTTCAAGGTTTCAGGTCAACCTTTCGGTCAGGTCAAGTGCCCCAGGGCATGGTTACGGTTTTTGGTAGATAACTTCCCCTAAATGGGTTCCAGGGCTTTGATTTTGGCATCAACGTGCTCTTCCTGCTCAGCCGCGTGGGATTATCCTACTTTTTGTTTGGGTGAGGTTAACGTAAAATGTTAACCGCGGGTCAAGGTCAGGTCAGAACCACTCAGGTCATGAAGCTAGTTGAGGGACGTCACAATGTACACCATTTGATTCGGCAGGCCTTCCCGAGTCCATTAGTGACTTCCCCGACTCGCTAGTTCAATTCTCTCGGGAGTTATTGACGCAAAACTCTATGACGACATGAAGGAATGACGTCACACAAGGCAAACGATGACCGAAATATTCATAAAAACACACACAAACACACAGTTGAAAAAATAACACTTTACCTATATTTAGTTTAAAGGCGGCTGTCATTGCTCGCTCTATTCGTCTCGCTAGTCTTGCAGCACCGATCATCTCTGTCAGCCGCGCCGATCCATACGTTGCCGCATGTTCTAATGTCAGCCCCCCCCCCCCCCGGGCCGATCGTCCTGCAGTGCTGACGGCTGCGCACCGCGAGGTCGGGGCGCCCGACCTCGGCGCGGCGGCCTCCGTGGGGGCCCGGCATTCCAGGTCAGTCCGGGGTATTTTCGGAAACGGTGCGCGGTCCGCGAGCACCAACTCTCAGCGCAACCGTGGCGGAACACCAAGCTAGAACCTGTCCTCTCTCGGCCCTCCCGCCATCCGCGGTTTCACATCCAATGTGGACCGGCTGCTTCGACACATCGCCAGGCGATATTTAAGACGAGATTGAGAACCATAACGTTCATCCCCCAGCAGAGCGGTAAGGGTTGTTTCCGTCCCAGCCGTCTTTCGCGATTGCTTGGCATACAGTGGCGATAGAGAGCTGAAAGTATAGGCATGCCAGATTTTGGATAAACTAGTCATCTTGTGACACCAAACGAACTTTGAAATCAAGCAGGTCACTGACCCATGACGTCACACTTATAGTTCTGTACGTCCGAAGAATATATGTAGCAGTTTCGCGACGCCTTCAGTCTCAGGGCCATGTTTCACGACAGGACTTTTCTGTTGCTACCAGGCATTGGCGCTCGGTTCCCATGGAAACGTAAGCATTAGCAGAATTGCAATTTTTACGTTTCCATACAAACCCAGCGCCAATGCCTGGTAGCGTCTTGCGCTGAACAGGGCCAAGGACATCTTCCAAGGAAGATGAAACTTACAAGAAGTAAGTTTCTAAACCCCCACAGCTTGTATTTCTCGTATAGCTATTTACATAAGCGTCACCTGAGGTCAGCTTGGCCACGTGACGTGATAAAAAAGTGGGGGGAAATCTCGACATTATTCATCGAGATAGTTTTTTAGCGAGATAGCCTTTTCAGCACCGTTTCTTGTTGGTCGGTAAGCGGCCCAAGAGTCGAGCAACAGAGGGGAATGCAAACGTTCGCCTTATGTTAAAAACGGAACGGACCGCCGCGCCGCCCTGGTGATTTAAGGTGTACCTACCCTTTCGATTGAATCGTTCCATAGCACAAAACATCACCTTTACGATGGTCAATTGGTCAGCATATGCAGAGCTGACATTGGATAGACCTGGTATCCGATGTCGCTGGGTGACCGGACCGGCCAAGCGGGCCCGGCGGCGGCGGAGGCTGAAAACCGACACCGCAGTCAGCTCGCCCGCTGCCGCTGCGCCAGCTCACCGCACCGCGCCCGGCAGACGGCGCTGCCGCCGGACCACGGCTGGAGGTGGATTGTCGGCAACCGCTGGAGCACTGTATAGGACACAGTGGTGGATAGCCTCAACCATCGTCCATCGCACCGCGGCGCAGTGGCCGCGACCGGCACATTACCGGCAGCGCCACGGTAAAGTGTGCCGACGGCGCACCGAGCCACCGACAGCGTGCCCGGCCGTCTCCTCGGCCACGCGCCGCCGGTGGAGCGAGCAGACACGGACAGGCGCCGGTACAGCACCGCTGAGCGGGCTGGCAGCCGTCTCTGGACGGGTGCCCAGTAAAACAGTACCTAGGTACCGCTTTTGGCGAGCGCCCAGTAACACATGGCAGTGCAGCGAGTACCGCGTTTGGTGAGCACGTTCCCCATGAGCCGACTCAGCCTGGCGCAGACTGCCGACGTCGGCGTGGGAGGGGAGCCGGCGGCACCGCTGGCTCCACGACCAGCAGCTGTGGCAGCTGTGGCAGAGGTGCAGTCAGCTGCGGCAGCTGTGGAGAGCTGCAGTCAGCTCCGGCAGCTGTGGGGAGCTGCAGTCAGCTCCGGCAGCTGTGGACCTGGGGGAGTTGCAGTCGGCTCCGGCAGCTGTGGACCTGGGGGAGTTGCAGTCGGCTCCGGCAGCTGTGGGGGAGCTGCAGTCAGGTCCGGCAGCTGTGGGAGAGCTGCAGTCAGCTCCGGCAGCTGTGGGAGAGCTGCAGTCAGCTCCGGCAGCTGTGGACCTGGGAGAGCTGCAGTCAGCTCCGGCAGCTGTGGACCTGGGGGAGTTGCAGTCGGCTCCGGCAGCTGTGGACCTGGGGGAGTTGCAGTCGGCTCCGGCAGCTGTGGGGGAGCTGCAGTCAGGTCCGGCAGTCGGCCAGGCGTGTCCTGCGGTGCTGCCGGGCGGCCCGGCCCGCCAGCCAGCCGTGAAACCCTGCCTGACTGAACGACTGCCACACACCAGTCGACTGGTGTGAACCGGCGGCCAGCCGGCCGAAACAAACGGCACAGAGCGGTGCGAGCGAGAGCGAGAGCGAGAGAGAGAGAGGAGGGGAGGAAGAGGCCAGGTCAGTGAGGATGGAGCAGGCCACCCTACCACAGCAGATAGAAGTTGACACCTGAAGGGACTCAGTGGCTCGTGGGGAATGCACGGCACCATGCCACCGGTCAGACGCACGCACCGCCTCTGTCAGGCGGCGACATACAGCGAGATGTGGGCTGCCGGGGGTGGGCCGCCCTCAGCTTCCTCCGGACACCGACAACGGTGCATGGACACTGGCAGAGGACCGACGGCACCGAACACCCCATTAAAGACTGTCGGCAGAGATGGCCGATACTGTGACTGAGGCCTGACCCGATACGGGCAGAGTGCGGTGAATAGGGCCATGCGACATCATCCGCCTTCCGGAAACCCAAGGCCCTATATACCGTAAAGTGGGGCTATTTGAGACAGTGGGGCTATTTGAGACAGTAAGGTAATGGTATAGTAAAATCGCTGTAAAATGAAAACCGTTTGATGCTTTTTCGTCATTTTTGCTTAAGCTGATGTGGAATTGAACAATGAATGCTCTGAATAACCTTTTTGAAAATTTCGAAAAGTTCTGAAAGAAATTTGCAATAAAATACGAAATACAGAAAAACGCACAATTTAAGTTGCTCGAAAAGGACCCCTACCTGCAGCTTAAAAAAGTTGAAGTTTTAACAGCTTCGCCACTGTATCTATCGCTACTACCTTTTTGCTTATAGGTTAAGCACATTTTTCATGAAAATATATATTGTTAACGGTACTGCCGATTGCGTAACCCATTGTCTCAGAATCCCGATGATGCCCACCTGGTCAAACCTCAACGGATATGCCAAATAGCTGATGATAACGGTGATGCGATACACCCGAGAAGACTTACCGCCATCTACCTGAAGTGCATCGAACGTTCGACATAAGCAACACCGGTGAATCGGTCGTGGTCATAAACGTGCAGTGGGTTCATGGTAGGTACTTTTAGCAGCAAGCAATATTTACATGTTCGTAGTGTAACATATTAACCCTTTAGCTGGTGACCAAACTAGTAATTCTGATGAATATGTGCTTAAAATGTGCTTCATCAGTCACTGACTCATTCGACAATCAACATATGTCTACCTTGGTTGACCAAAAAACACCATCGAATGTTACTTAACACATGAACGTACTGTTAGGTGAGCCTATCCAAGTACTTGATGTGATAGGGTAACCGGCCAATTGATACGGCATGCAGCGATCGAGGAAAATCGGCATAAAATCAAAACCGTTTAACATTTTTCTGTTATTTCTTCGCATGGAGATGTACAATGGAACAAACAATCATGCAGACCATTCACTCAAATGTTTTGGGAAACCTTTTGCCTTGTTTGATTCATTACAGTGTGCTTCATAAGGTAGCGAGACTGTCTCAAATAGCCCCACCGACTTTCGGTATATCTGTTTTCACGTCACCGGGGCTATATACAAAAACTTACTTTCAAAATTTTACTGTCGATGACTTTAAAATAGTCCTTGATGATCATCCTGTCAGTTTGAAAGCTATGGGTCATCATATTATGATAGCCTTAGCATATAGTGATGCAATTTTATACCCTACCGAAATGAAGTGTCCTACGAAAAAGGAAAAGATTGAATATAAAGGTCATATAACAGTCTTTGAAAAAAAAACAATTTTTGCCAAAATAATCAAAGTTCAATTTCCAAATGCATGGCGTTTAAAAAATTATCTCTAGCGTGACCGATTTTCTTTAATTTCCTTGCAACTAAAACTGTCTCAAATAGCCCCACCCTATGGGGCTATTTGAGACAGGCTTTAACATAAAAAATAACCTCAGTCATTATTACTAGCTGAACCAAAATACACCTATATGAAAGAGCTCACAGAGAACTACATTTTTGCAATTTACATGCTATAAGAAATATGAGCCGTCTTAAAGGGAGAGGCCAAAAACTGTAAAATCCGTTTCAAATAGCCCCACTTTACGGTACCCCGGAAACCTATACGGACGTCAGGGTTATACTCTGTGCCGAGGAGCACTATTGCACTTTATCCAGTAGTGCATTTGTTCTCAAGTCGTGCCTGGGCGGACTGACGGTTGCTGTTCATGTGACCTGACTGTCAAAATGTTGCATACGTTCAATGTGCGTGGGCGATTTCTGCAGCTGATGAGCGGAAATGGTGCCACACCAGACGCGATCGGACGCGATGGCGTTCGTCCCCGAGTCCGGCTGAGTCGCATCCCCCGCTCAGGGCTGATGTTTGGCCAATGTGCAGTTTCACGGTCGGTGTGTATAGGAATTGAGACATAGACCCAGTCACCTCCTGCCCCCATCTACTCCGCTGCCACGCCCTTCCCACGGAGGGAATTGTACCTAATTGGTGCTGTCAGAGGGCCTTGGGTCCGGCGCGGAGGCCGGAGGGGAGGGGGCCACGAAAAGTTACTCCTTAGGTCAGTCACCGACGTCACAGGTCAGGTCATATCGGTACCCATCAATATTGAGCAGTTTTTTAATGCCGGAAAATATTCAGAATTACAGAAAACCGATTCGAGTTGATCGTCTACGAATGACATAATTTCGGCAAACCACAGGTTGTGTCCGAATATACCTATTACCTATTAGGATAACTCCTGGGGGAGAATTGAATGCAATACTTCAGCGTACTCGCTATTTCCGAAGAAAAAAAATGTGCTGATTACCTACTGGTTCTGTAAACGTTCAGCGGGCGCCGTGCCGATGCAGGCCAGCTGTAGTACTCACCAGTCGTGGGTTCCTCCGTCACTGAGTCAGCTCAGCCTCTCAGAACATCACCGCCACTCGCTCCAGCCACCACGGCACGGCTGCACCACCCCACCCCACGCCACGCCGCTCCCGAGTCGCCACTGGAGCCGCGCGCCCGTGCCGCCCCCGACTGCCGGCGCCGGCGCGCGCAGTGTGCACCCACGTGCCTGAACGAGGCGGGAAGTGGCAGAGCGGCGGCCGGCGAGCAGTCAGCAGCTGCACCGCCCGCCCCCGGCGCTCCGGGGGGGGGGGGGGGGGGCTGACGGAGCCGACGTGACCTCAGCCGGCCCAGATGGGGCCACTCAGCGACTTTGATTCCAACGGCACCACCGGCCACCCTGTCGCTTCCGAGTCGGAACATATTGATATTACCGAATACCGTATTCAAGGAGTCGGAATAGATCCAGTATGTAACGCCATCGGATCCAAATATGACCGCTTATTTCTAAAGGGTGTAGTTATTTGAGGCGTAAAACACACCCTGATGTTAAAATACCTACCACGAAAATTATAAAATCGGCCGTTGCAAGGGGGTCTCAGCCAATTTCGCCATGGTAGGGAAGGGGGGGGGGGTATTTGGCCAGGGCCTAACCCATTATCTCGAAAACCGAGTAGAGGAAGCGGAAAAAACAATACATAGCTCGCTAAAGATCTTCAAAATTCTGAAGGTCGTTTTTAGGTCGGGTCATCGCTGGGGTCACTGCAGGTCACCAAGGGTAAAATTATGACGAAATTTTCAGACTTATTCTTTTTCACAAATCGTAAACGTCACGTAAACGTCAGGATAAACGCTGGAAGTCATAACATGTCAATATGTAGGACACATACGTATTATTACGTGGGCACGAATAGCCCACAATGTTGACAACAAGCCATTGTCATCTGCACGAATGCGACGTACTATATTTTTATTGGCTCGTGCCTTATCGAGCCTCGTCTGTCAAGGATACTTGCTTCGGGAAAATAAATCACAGCAGCATGTCACATTTCGCGCTTAGATCCCCTCCCTGACGTATTAGTTTTGCCTCTTATCAACTCATCACTGGGGAGTGTCTAAGCAGTATAGGTAGTGTACACTTATTGCACAGATAGTGAATTGGAAAAATGATGCCTTTATCCGCGCACACTGCACAGGGTAACTCGTAACTCGGCCAAATTCACCCTGGTGGGGGAGATAGGAAAGACGTCCCATTATGAGGCTGACCGCACTCACAGCCAACTTCGCCATGGTGGGGGTGGGGAATGGGAGGGGACAAGGACTCCGCCACGGTTTTTGGTTGGGGGGGGGGGGCGGTCTGTCCTTCACGCATAGCTCTCTCAATTGGCCCCTAGGCCACAAAAAGGCGAACGGTGTATGAATTATGAAAGGTTGTCTCCCCCAGCGCTGACGAATATTTGCTATAGCTCCACGATAGCTCCATTGAGTCCACGGAATCCCTAGAGGAGCGGCAAAATCGAGAGAAGGCCGGCCTAAAAGCGCAACGTTGAAGTGTAAGCGTCGCACGGACGACCCCAAATAGCGTACTTCTATCCACCACTGTTCGCCTTTCCTTGCGTTGACTGCCAGTTTGACTTAGTGATGGTTATATTATTGACATCGACATACTCCCGTTGCAGTGCACAAATCTCTCAGCAGTGACAGCGGCAAGCGCCGCCCGCGACTGTCGCAACCCACAGAAGCGCGATCAACACCGCTCACCCACACCCCATCCAATTCCAATTCCATTCCACACACCTAAATAGCCCACACCAATAGCGGCAGCGGCCTGCCCGATGGCGGACCCGCGGCTCCCCGAGGGGACACGCCACGCCGTCCCCGAGGGCCGAGGGGACAGTCCCGGCCTTCTGGGTCCCCACGGGGTAGTACCGCCCCCCTGGGTTCCCACGGGGGTAGTACCGGCCCCCTGGGTCGCCACGGGGGTAGTACCGGCCCCCTGGGTCCCCGAGGGGGCAGTACCCAGTCCCCCTGGGTCCCCGAGGGGGCAGTAACCAGTCCCCCGGGTCCCCGAGCGGACGGCCCCGCGGGCCCAGGGACATTGATCACCGGCTCGATCACGGTCTCCGCCGCCCGCGGCACTGCCCGAGCCGTTCGGGAGCAGCCAGCAGTCGGGCGGCCCGGCTCAGCTGACCACGAGCCCACTAGGGACGGTCCCTGACGGCTCGGCGGGCAGCGGGGACTGGCGCCGCGGGCGGGCGGGCGCGCCGACCGGTCGCCGCCGGGGGCCGGCTGTGACCTAGTGGGAGCGGAGACTGCCGCCGCCGGGGCCGGCTGTGACCCACTGGGACCTAGCTGGTCGGCAGTCAGGTGCGCAGCTCGCGTCGCAGGCGCGCCTGTCCGAACAGGAAGCGGACGACGCGGTCGGCGATGTAGGAGAGCACGATATCGGCCATCAGCACCTGCACCAGCACCGTCCGGAACTGCCGGAACGGGGGGGGGGGGTCAGTCAGTGGGACAGGGTCAGTTAGTGGCCAATGGGACGGGAGAGGGGGCGTGTGAGACAGTGCAATGGGGTCAATCAGTGCCAGTGGGACAGGGCCCTGAACTGCGAATACCCAGGGGGACAGGGTCAGTCTGTGGCACGGCAGACACGATCATCAAGTGTTACAGACAGGCCGCGCCCTTCCCGTTCTCTCCCCCGTGACGGCGCGTTAGTCAGAGCTGCGTCCCCAGTGTGACGGCGCGTTGGTCAGAGCTGCGTCCCCAGTGCACAGTGGGGATTTTTCCGATCTAGCACGTATTTATTCGTAGAGGGCAAACCAAAATTAGAATTGTAGCCAGATTGTGCACAGATGGTGGCTGGTGTGTCCTGGTGAGAATTTTACCTGTAAATGTGCATAATCAACAGAGTATAGGGGGTTCATCTGGACCCCCCGCTCAGCCGTTTGGCCCCTGATCAAGCTAGAGCTTCGCGGAAAAGTCAAGCGTGCTGCCTATGACGAAATGAGGCCGAATATATCCAATTTCAAAGTCCAAGGTCATAAGCTGACTTTCCAAGTCAGTTTAATGACCCAACTAAAGTTGGGAAATCGAGACCTCTTGAAACTTCGCAAAGTTAGGGTGTTACGGGGTATTTTGGGGTGCTGATCACGAATTTCATGTTAGTTTTGATCACAGACGATGTCTTTATGCATTTAGGCCAGGTCGGGTCAGGTCAGGTTAGATCAACTAGTAGGCGTCCTGCCGGCCATACATAGAAGTGTCACCTACTACTGATAGCTTCGTAACATGGAACGAAGGCACCAGAACTACTTCGTAAATATTCAAATGGCTGCTAAAATCGAAATCAGCACCAAAAACTACCCTAGAAACAAGTGAAACTTGAAAAAAAGAAACAAGGTCATCAAAAGGTCAATGACCTTGACTTGACCTTCACGTGACCTTGACACCCACCATTATGCATGGCACCAACATCATTTCTCATATTTGAACGTTTAAAACCACAAAAAGACTGGAAACCGCGGATAATGTGAGCTGGCATACGCCGAATCGCGATTCCGGCCAAACATGGTCTCGAGAAATATGCCACAGGTCAAAGGTCAGTTGGGTCAGAGTCATGAAATTTTAAGGTTAGATGTAAAATTGATGATCTCGAGGGCACCGAAAGTTTCGGCGCGATTGGCCGCTTTTTGCGCGAGTAATTTGCGGAAAACCATGGGGTTTTATCCGACCCTTTCCCCCTCCCCCTCCCCACAAGTGCGATGGTTCATAAGGTTACGGTATGTATAATTTACGCTTGTCATCCTATTCCTAATGAATGTGTCTCAGAAAATATGCATCATGTAAATCACGAAGTAAAATTATTCGCCTATGTCCGGAACATACCTATATCGTGCTGTTTGCCCTAGCGCTCCTCAAGTGGGGTGTTAAGATACTCTAATGTGAATATTCCGTGTTCAGGCAAGTTTCGGCAGCCAAACTAGGCGTTGTCTTGTGCAGGAGAAAGTGGCGAATTCGATAGGATATATTTCGGAGTGGAAAAGTGTGGAGAACATTGTTGATTTCCTACATTTATTTAGAATACCATTCCTTCAATATGGTGTCTGTAAGGGTTTTTTGTAAAGGGCATTTTTGTGACCTTAGTAAGGTTGTGGCATACTTTCTGTTTGCCATTCCATTCCTAATAAAGGTGCCTTTCAGACGATATGCAACTTTAAGACCTCGCAAGATTAAAACCAACAGGACAGGACAATGAAATTGAGCTATACTTTCGGGCCTTGCTGAGCCCATTGAGTAATCACGCATGAGTGTGAACTTTGGGCGCATTTTTCCTAGTTTTGCTGTGGACATACAGATAAAACAATGCCATATATGAAAAATTCAGACATTTCTTAGCCCCACTGACACAAAAAATAAGCAAAAATCCAAAAAGATTTTTTGAATTAATAGGCGCTAGATCGGAAAAATCCCCACTGTGCAGTGTGTCGGCGCGTTGGTCAGAGCTGCGTCCCCAGTGTGACGGCGCGTTAGTCAGAGCTGCGTCCCCAGTGTGACGGCGCGTTAGTCACAGCTGCGTCCCCAGTGTGACGGCGCGTTAGTCGGAGCGTCTCCGGTGTGCCGGCGCGCTACTCATGTTTTCCCTGCGCCGGCGCGCTACTCACGTCGTCCGGGAACATGACGACCGAGAACTGCTCGTTGAGGTCGGGCATCACGCAGCTGGCCATGGCGAACACGACGGCCAGCGAGCCGACAATGCTGTACAGCAGCGGCCGGTTCTCCCACAGACTCTCCATGAACGGGTGGCCCTGCGGCGGGGCAGCGCAGACACAGATACACGGCGTCAGCACCTCAGCCGGCCGGGGGGGGGGGGGGGCGAGACACAGCGAGTCATACGCACACAGACACACGGCGTCAGCACCTCGGCCGGCCGCAGAGGGGGGGGGGGGAGACAGTACGCCAGCCACACGCAGACACACGGCGTCAGCACCTCAGCCGGCCCCGGAGGGGGGGGGAGAGACAGCCCGTCAGCCACACACAGACACAGACACACGGCGTCAGCACCTCAGCAGTCCGTCAGCCACACACAGACACTACGGCGTCAGCACCTCAGCCGGCCGCCGAGGGGCCCAGACACAGCGAGTCATACGCACAGCTACACGCGGTAAGCAACGGAAAGATATCGCAGTTCACGTGTGCGTCAGGAGTGAACTGCATAATTTTTCTCTCCAGAAAAGTTCCTTGAACGCATTTAAGAATGTTTATTTTTTCTGTTCATCGATAACTTCACAGCAATAGCAAAATTTTACATATTTATTTTAGAAAGTCGACTAACCACTTGATTCTTTAGATAATTGACTGCATGGCTGACGAACTGGCCGGCTGTTGAATGACCAGTCCCACTGTCTGACTGACTGGCTGACTGACTCATTGACTGACGTCCTGGCCAACACTGACTGACTGACTGACTGACTGACTGACTGACTGATGACTGACTGACTGACTGACTGACTGACTGAGATTCCGTCCGCCTTCCCACTCACCCGGTAGTTGATGGCAAACGTGGCCACCTGCAGCGTGATCGAGATGATGTACACGGTCGAGTTGAGAATGTTGGGCTCAAACTCCTTCTCCAGGTCCGGAAAGCCGCTCTCCCTGGCGACGAGCCCGAAAAACGCGTCACTTACAGTTCCAGACGCCGTCAACAGGCTGGCAGCACAGTCTCACCCCGCACGGTTCAGACAGACACAGGACGCAG